TCGCTCATTAGTGTTCAAGGCCTCAAACCTGTTCCTGAGATGGTTCTGAAATTCAGGTGGGATAGACTCAAAGTCATATTTTGGTTGCCTTGGATTTAGTTCAATTTTCCTCCACTTCAGCTTGAACTTGAATGATCGAATTTTGCACAATGACTTATTCACAGCAAATACATTTTTTAAGAGACATAAATGCAGGTTATATACTTGGATTTCACCTGATGGTGAGCATAGGAATCAGATCAATTACATCTGTGGAAAGAACCACTGGAGAAGCTCAATATCAGCTGTGAAAACTAGGCCAGGAGCTATTGTGGAACGGCTTGGATTAGGCACACTTTAGTCTTTAAAGTGACATTCTTACTCTTCAGAACTTTTAAGAGGTCTTTGACAGCAGATTTTCTAGTGTCACAGCCTTTTGATTTCTTGACTGCTGTTACTGTGGATGTTGTTTGTGGATATAAGCAAAATGAAGTTGTTGTCAATTTCAATCTTTTCTCCATTTATTATGATGTTGTTTATTGATCTAGTGGTGAGGATTTTTTTTCCTTGATGTTGAGGTGTAATTCATATTGAAAGCTATACGTAATCTTTGATCTTCTTCAGTAAGTGCTTTATCTTCTGCAAGCAAATCACTGGAGAAGTTGGACTATATGAAGAAGAATGGAGTATCAGGATTGAAAGAGGATCAATCAACAAACTACATTATACAGATAACACAACTTTGGTTGGTTGAGGGTCTTCCTCTCCTTCACTGACCCTTCCACCTTTCCAAGCATTGTTTCTTTTTCCAAAGAATACTTTAGAATTTGTTTAATTACTTTAATTCCAAGGAATGCATTATTAATTTTATTTATATATGTGCTTGCTTGTTCATAGCTTGCTTTTATGAGTACAGTACTTGCCTGCCAGTTTCCTGTACAAAAGTAGCCTGCTGTCTGCTGTGATGTTGGAGTTTTATACCAGCAGGTCACCCATGGCGGACAGGTTTTAGTAGAATATCCAGATTAAGTAATACTAAGAACTATTGTCTGTCCACTTCTAAAGTAACCAGCCTTTGGAAATTCTATGAACAAGTCAAGATTAATACATTAGCACAAATTATTACCTTTTCAATGTTCAGCTATGCAGTATCTTCTCCATATGTTATTTTTCAAAACTAAGGTTACTGCTACAGTCAAGCTTATAAGAAAGGTAAGTAGATGCTGATGCAGGATGTGAAGACATTTACTTAGTAATAAAATGCAAACTCTTTAAGGTTAGATCCTATTATTTTGCTTGACCAGTTTTGTTTTCAGCTTCTGGCTCCCCAGCTGTGTCCTAGTTACTTAAACTTGCCAAGTTAGTGGCCATTTGGTAAATGGAATACAATGGTATAGTTTTCTTGCTGGCTTCTTGACAATTAAAACTCTTGCCATTAATGGTAAAATGGGATTTCAGAGTCTAGGAAGTTTTCAAATTAAAACTGGGGAGACTTAATAGGCTGCCAATTTTTTTTTTACAAGTAAGGATATTTGAAAATTACTAAATCCTATAAACAAAGATCTCTTTACATCAGATAGAATGGGAAGAAGCTATTTCATAACAAAGGATAATCTTTTAAGTAGATTGATTTCAGTCTCTTGAGCACTTTCTAATGGTTGTTTTTCTCAAGTCAAGGTGGATGGGTGGACATATTCAATCCAACACGGGGGTTTGGGGACTATCTTATATAACACTAAGCCCAAGACCTGGGAGCTGGCTGATTCTGGGAGGTGCTGAGTATGTTCCTGGAAGCCTGGGATCAGCTAGCTCTTAGGGAGGGGGATCAATAAAGAGCTATGGCTCTTGATTCTCAGAAAAGGAACCCTGTCCATGCAGCAGGAATAAAACCTGCCTACAGAAGGAGCCCTGGCGGAGTAATGTGTTACGTTTTGGGCTGGTAACTGAAAGGCTGCCAGGATGAAGCATCCAGCTACTCCTGGGGAAAAAACTGAGGCAGTCTCCCCCCTTAAGGATTTACAGCCTTGGAAACTCAATGATGGGTTGCCTGGAGTCAGAACTGACACAACAGCCCCAAGTTTGGTTTGGGTTTTAGTTTGGTTTATTCTGGTCTGGGCCTGTAACAACAGGCTAATCCCCCCTCAAAGCTTTCCTCCTGACCTGAAGTGTCCCTGAGTGTTAAGAGCACTGAAAACTGCCCTTGTTAGAAGACAGGAAAATTGCAAAGTTCATTCCACAGAGTGAGTTTCCATTTTTCCTGGCCCCATAAATGCTAGGTCTGTTGGTAATTTTCATTCTTGGGTCACAGTTCCCAAGGGTGTAGGAGAAAAGCCAAGCAGGGGAAGATGGGTTTGGTGTGCTTTCTCAGAGCCTGGATTTACTCCCTGAATCTCTAAAAGGAAGGGCTGGCCTGTTCCAGTTTACCAGAAGCAATTCCCAGACCCCAGCAGCTATCTGGATAGCTGAGTGGGTAAGGCCTGCGCTATGCCAGCTTCACAGAGACACATTCCTGAAGCTGGCGTGCTCATGAGAAAAAGGAGGTTCTCTTTGTTAGACACATAACCAGTGATTGAAGACTTTACCTCATGAGATGGCTGAGTAAAAGCTTCTTTTACTTGAACCAGTGACCCCAAAATAACTTTGAGTAACCTTCCCCCCACCCCCCCACTCTTTCCCCCCCTGCACTTGGAAGAACTGTGGAGAGCCAAGGGGATAACGGTTGAATTCATTACCAACTCTTCCGGAAGCGTAGTCTTTCTGCTGACCTGAAATAATTTCCATACATTTTCCTAAATATATGGGAGTTAATTGCCAATTTGCATTTTGGTTGGAGTATTCAGATCTTAAATGGAAACATAAGCCCTTTATCTCAAGGAAAACTCCTGAAGCTCATTTTCTGATGCCCGAAAGCCTTGTGGGGAACAAGCTTAATATTCTCTCCTCTCTAGTAGACTCTTCAAAAGCATCTTGGAGGAGACCCTCTCCATCTGGTGTGGGTTGGTTTATGGGATTGAGGTTACATCAGATGATTCATTCTCCACCTCAGCTCCCCCAAATCATTGTTCATTCTTAAAGGGGTCATAGGATTTCAATTTTCCCTGATGTGCCTCCTTACAGCCAAATTTGACGTCAGCACCTTTTATAAGTGGGAAACTATGAATTAACAGCCTGAGTTTTCCTTGTGTCCACTTAAAGAGGCTCTGTTTGGAGGAATTCTTCCACATCCTTTGACACCGACCTGCTTATGTTAATAATTTAAATGTCTGAGAAATATCATCTGCTTCTACTAAAATAACTGATGAACGAGTTATGGAGCAGGCTTCAAGACATCTCAGCAGAGATGGTGAGGGGGAAGCTCACTATCAGAAACATTCATTTGGATGCAGTGTTTAGTCATGTGTACTTAGCTATGGCCCTAAAATCTGCTTGCCTCACAACTTTCCCCATCTGGTGTAGATTGTTTTCCTCACTTGTAAAAGTGTCCTCGATAGCATGGATTCTGTGCCATGTTGTAACAATGAGGTCTCATCATGTGCTCCACTGAGCGAAACCTCTTTTCAACCTGTCCTTACCAAGCGCCTGATCTGTCATTGCATTTCCCAATGGAGTCATGCTCAACTTCCTATAGCCCAGCCCACCACGCTCTGGAGAAAGGAAATGAGAGAACCCTACCTTGTACCCAGGTTTCCGCCCTCTTTTCTTTGGGGTCTTCACTGCTGATAAGCAACCAGGTGAAGCAGAATAAAGGTTATGAACTGCCATCTTCATCGGTGCTGAGTGAAGTGGGGGTCGGCCTCGCTTCCTCCCAGGGATCTTTTGAGACTGCATTTCTGCTGGTGCCAGTCTTACGGAATGAGGTGGCAAATCACTCACCGGCAGAAGAGGTGCTAAGAATTAGTCCAGACACAAAGCAAAACAGAAACAGAAGTGTTTGTTTGGTTTGCAAGGTGAAAAATTAATCTGGTTTGACCATTTGGAAGATGTCTATGACTTAATGGAGGGAAAGACAAAAATAAGAATAAGTTTGCACCACTAGGAGCTTTTGTAACGCTGTTAGGCTTCTGGAGGGAGTCCACTGATCCCCTGACATGTTTTCAAGGCTAATAAATTTCAGACATAGACTCCTTGCTCCAACTATAACTGATAGTGTCACAGTGACAAGATGGTTTTATCTGCGTCTCAGTTTCCCCTGTTTGTTTGACTTTTAATTGATACAATAATGGTATCAAATACAACCATCCTGTCATATTCACTTCTAATCCCTTTGGTGGGGCTACCTATTGCTATGACTTTTCCCCTTGAAACAATTTAACAGTACACATTGTTTGTACTTAAGTTAACAATGTCTTGGAATATGAATTTATATACAGATGTGTTCATTTAATATAGTTAAAAATTTAAAAAGTCTAAATAGCAAGCAGTGAAGGAATATTTAATATATCCACTTAATAACATAATCAACTCTTTCATAGCTTTTTGCAATGTTTTTTAATAACATGAGACTAACTGGGGGGGGGGAGGGAAATCCCATAAATTGCATGTAGAAAATATTTCAATGGTGTAAAAATTTGCATTGGCCCAAAAAATGGAAGTAAATGCACTAATATCATAGCAATTAGCTAAGAAAGTGGGATTATGAGTAACTCTTCACCATATATAAATATTTTCTCCAAAGTGTAAACCTTACATGCTAAAACAATTTCAAGATAATACTAATAATAAACTTCTCATGTAAAGTTGCCTAAGCCTTTTAGCAAAGGTGGTTAATCAATCCCAAACCAGAGCACATGGTGACACTGTGAGCTTGTCATTATATGTCTTATTCTCAAGGAATGAAAAAAGTGGAAACTTTTTACTTCAATTAGGATTAAGGTTAAGCGATAAATTAGTTTCTGACAGTTTTAAATACCAGCACTGTCACCACCAGCAGCATTTTAGCAAAGGTTTCAGATTAAGACAAACCAGAAAGAACAGTTTGTCTATCAGTTCCACTACTTGTCTGTCTGTCTGTCTGTGTACTGTGGTGGTCTTGCATGTTGGAGTAACTTTGGAAGCTATGCCACTGGTATTTCAAATACCAGCATGGTGGGAATGAACAAATTACCAGAAGATGAGGCCCTCAAGTTGGAGGGCACTCAAAATATAACTAAGGAGACCTGCCTCCTCAGGTAGAATGTGCCTTAATGACATCAACAGAGTAAAGCTTTTAGTCAATGAAGGATCTTCATTTGTTGTTGTGACATGACTCAAAACAAGGAGAAACAGCTGCACAGAATCATTAATAATTGTAGTGTGTATTATACAAAGTATGAATCGAGGAAAACTGGAAATTGTCAAAACGAAAGTGGAATACAGAAATATTGATATCCAAGGAATTAATGAGCTTACATGAACAATTACTGGCCACTTAAAATCAAATAGTGATCTACTGGGCAGAGAATGACAAAATAAGAATGATGTCAAATTTGCCAAAAATAATATTTCAAGATCTATTCTGAAGTACAATACTGTCTGCCATAGAATAATATCAGTAAGAATACAAGAAAGATCTCACCATGCAATTATTATTCAAATTTGTGCACCTGCCATTAACGCAAAAAAATAAATTGATCACATGGATAAAGCATATCATTAAGATGTATTAATAACAACTTTTGGATTGAGTGCAAAAATTGGAAACAAAGAAAATTAGGAATTAGAAAATATGGCCTTAGTAACAGAAACAAGGATGGAGATCACATTATTGGCAAGCAACAAATGCTGGCGAGGTTGTGGAGAAACTGGAA